ATCAGGGACAGACGATGGGCAGGGTGAAGAGGAGTTCTTTACCTGAAATAATCTTTTGGCATAACTACTGGGAGTTAGACCCTTTGAATCTAGAACAACCTGGGGGTCTCTGTGACTACAGGCATTTTGGCTGGTGAGCCTGCTCTGTGGGACCCGCATGATCAAAGTTCCTTCTGTTGATAGATAAAGCACTAAAACTGAGAAGGTCTTCACTCATCCAGTTACGTCTTAAGTATACTTCTTAAATATACAATATCATCCCCATTTTATAAAGAAGGAAACTGAGGGAACAGAAAGATTACATAACTTGTCGAAGATCACACAGCTAGTATGTGAGTGGGCCTGGGCTCAAAAGCAGGTTCTAGCTCCAGAACCCATTTTTATAACCACCATGCCATAATGGGCTGATTTCAGAGCCCGGTGCCACTGTAACATCCCATGGTTGGCCAGGACCTCAGCATCCTGGATGCCCCTCTTGCCACCCTCTGACCTGCTGCATATTCATTCCCAGGACTCCTTGCTCTCTCTGGACCTCAGTTTCCTCTTCTGTTCAGGGAGGATCCTGGGCTTTCCCACTGACACAGAGCAGGCAGAGTCACAGGGGCACCCCTAGCCCCAGGAAACCCAGGCCCCAAGTCTATTACCCTCAGCCAACGCTGGCAGAAGGGCTATGGAGGGACACTGTCAAGGAAGCCCATTCCCACAGACAGCAGTCATACCCCCAACCCTGCTCGCACACAAGGCAACTGAGGGGAGCCTTTCTTAACCACAACCATCCCCACCCCTGACCCACCCAGCCAGTCTGGCATGTGCCAAAGTGAGGAAACCTCTGTCATAAAATGCTTAGACCTACAAATCCAATTGCCTCTCAGTGGACACAGGCACCTGTATCTCCACACATCTGAAGTTGAACTCACCACCTTCCTCTTCCCCACCCCCACCTGCAGTCTTGGTAAGTGATACTGCCATCTGCTCTGTTCCCTTCTGAACCCCAAGTGTCATCCTCCCCCTCCCCTACACTTCCATCCCCACATCCAGTCCTCACCATGGATTCCATCTGGCAGGTCTTTCTTAAGGCCACCTCACAGCCATCTTTACCATCACCAGTGCCTTGGCCCAGCCTTCCCTGTTGCCTGCTTGGATGACTTCCCTGGGCTCCCTGCCCCCTTCCCTGCTTTCCCTCGCACCCCATGTCACCCCAATCCATGCTCCACGTGGGGCCTGATTTTTCTAAATCCCCACTTGACCTCTCCGTCTCTTGCCTGCAGCCCTTTGCCCATGTGGCTCCCTCTGTCCAGAGTCCCCTTTCCCTCTTGGCCTTCTACAACGCGCTCCTTCACAGCCAGACTACATAATGGGGGGCCCAGTATAAGTGAAAATGTGGGCCCCCATGTTCAAACAGTAGGAAATAAGTGCTGATGAAGGTACTAAATATAAAGTTTTTCCTTTTTTTTCAGCCCCTTTCTCAACCTACCATGGTGTCTTTTGATTGCCGTTCGGTGTTGTATGGGGCAAGTGCAGACTGTCACAAGTACCTCCTCCTAGTCTTCTCCCTCCACCCTCACTATCCCACAGCCCGACATCCTGTGCCTTGGCCAGAGGTGGAGGTGTGGAGCTAGGCATCTCCCCTTCACTCAGACCCACCACCTCAACCCATAGTGGACATCCGGCACCCAAGGGTGTTGCAATCTCTGCTTCCTTGGAGACAATAAGTACCCAGAATGGGGGAGGGTCTTGGAGGCTCAACCTCATAGGGTCGTTTACTGAATGGACTGCATCACTGTCAGCCCAGGGTAGAGACAACCAGAGCCATGTCCTTCCCTGAGACACGGCCCTTCCCATTCTCCCACTTGGGCCTCTGCCAAGTGGCCCAGGACTCCAGAGGGCAAAACATCAAGCTGAGAGCCCCTCCTTAGAGGCAGGGAGATAGCAGAAGTCAGGACCTCGTGTAAGCCAAGGCTCCAAGCTTGAGGTGCATGTGCCATTGTCCCAATGTACTTCACTTACAAATCATAAATTCAAAGATAAAATTAATTAAAATTTCAATACATTGACCACAGAGCATTCAACCCCAAATGTGGGGCCCTTCTGAGTGGGGGTCCTCTGGGACTGCATAGGTTGTACACGTGGGAGCTGTCCCTGTCCTCAGCCTTTAGGTCTCAGGTTAAACATCCCATCCTTTGGGAGGACTTCCTGATCTCAAGACTAGCTTAGGTTCTCTGCCAATATGCTACCAAAATGTTCCCAAACCTTGAACCTTTCCCATTTCATTTTAACTACTTGTTTAATTTGTTTTATCATATTTACTTGTTTAATCCAGGTAATGAAGCTCTGTGAACATGGGAACTGTGCCTATTTGGTTCACAGTGATATCCCCAGTATGTGCCAGGGATATGACAGGCACTAAAGAAACATTCGTTAAATGAATGAGAAAGTTCATGAACAGTTAATCCTTAGGCCTCCTTTCCTGAAAGCTATGGGTTATTCTAAATGACTGGAAAGACCCCAACCCTTCTCAGATACCTACAAAGCAGCCAATAGGGTAAGAGAGAGAGTACCTGCTGCCCCTTTCTACTCTGACTCCTCTCATCTCCCTCTTGTTGGGTTTTGTGGACATGAACAGTGAGGAGCCCTGAGCTCGAAGCTGGTTGAGTGACTTTGAGTATCACCGACTTTCTCTGGGCTTCACAATTAAGTGGTCAGATTAGGAGTCCTCCCTGAATATTCATTTCCCAAATGCCAAGTGGCATTTTCTGCTTTGGAAACATTTTTTATTAGGTTTCCGACTTCCAGGGAACTCATAATCCTGTCTCTATGATGAGCTCTAGGCCTAACCCAAGGTTTTGCAACTCCAGCCCACAAACTAAAGAAAAACACACACAGGACTACATGAAACTGTTAAGGCAGCCATTTTGTTTCAAGATGGAAGATGATATAACCTCTAAGATGTAATTTTTTTTTTTTTTTTTTTGAGACAGGGTCTCACTCTGTCACTCGGGTTAAAGTGCAGTGGCATGATCCTGGCTCACTGCAGCCTCGACCTCCCGGGCTCAAGCAATCTTCCCACTTCAGCCTCCCAAGTAGATGGGAATACAGGTATGCACCACCAGGCCCGGCTAATTTAATTTTTGTAGAGACGGGAGTCTCTCTATGTTGCCCAGGCTGGTCTCGAACTCCTGGATGCAAGCGATCTTCACGTCTCAGCCTCCCAAAGTGCTGGGATTACAGGTGTGAGTCACTGCATCCAGCAGAGGTGTAATTTAATATCCTCCAAGATGGGGCAGAGTTTTTTGCAAAAGTAGTCAATGTCGTAAGGAACTGAGGCCCAAAAATATGAAATCGTGAAGGGTGGGGTAGACCCAGAGCTCTCCCTGCATTCAGAAACATGGAGACTAAGCCGATGGTGTAGAATGCCCAGACTTTAAGAAATGCCTTCCTTGCCAGCAAAGGTGGCATTGCCCTGCCAATGTTTAATCCCACTCTCCTTCCACACTCGGGAGCTCAGAGTGTTTTCTCCTCATAGCAAGCACACATTTAGAATCCCAGCTTCCCATCGGCTCAAGATAGATTCCCATGGAAACCAGCATAAGGGAAAGGCAGAGATGTGTCAGGCCCTGGACACATGCTTAATATACCTCCTCCCTCCCAGGCCCTGCAGTTTCAGTGCAGGAAAAAAAAAGCCCCGTTGAAAAAGGTGATTCCATTGTCCTGTCCCCTAGGGAGCCTGAGGCCACTGTTTCTAAGAGGGCTTCCCCTAGAAGTCTTTCTGCTGTCACCCACCACCTTGGCAACACAGCCTGTACAAGAGCAGATTCTGGCCAGGCGTGGTGACTCACGCCTATAATTACAGCACTTTGGGAGGCCGCGGCGGGCGGATCACCTGAGGTCAGGAGTTCGAGGCCAGCCTGGCCAACAAGGCAAAACCCAATCTCTACTAAAAATACAAAAATCATCTGGGCATGGTGGCAGGCGCCTGTAATCCCAGCTACTTGGGAGGCTGAGGCAGGAGAATCACTTGAACCCGGGAGGTGGAGGTTGCAGTGAGCCAAGATTGCACAGCCAGGGCAACAGAGTGAGACTCTGTCTCAAAAACAAACAAAAAAAAAATTGCAGGTTCTAAAGTCAGAGAGACCAACCTGGAGGCCCTACCACAAGACTTAGATGTGGGGTGACCCTGGGCAATGTACCTAAACTCTCTGAATATCAGTCTCCTTGTCTTTTAAATGGGTCTAATAATGTTACTTACCCCACAGGAGTAGTTATGGGGATTAAATAATACAATAATGTAAAATATTTAGCTCAAATCCTGGCATTTAATAAGTACTTACTAAATGCTAACCATTTTTATTATAAATTAACTATTGGGTAAATAAGTCCCTGAACCTATCTAGGCCTCAATTTCCTCATCCATAAAACAGAATGAGGTGGGGAGGAGGTAGGACAGCCTAATTTTTGAATATCCCTTCCAGCCCCGGCATTTTATGGTTCCAGGTATGTGTTACTGATGAAGGGGTGAAGAGAAAGTGGTATTGTAGAACTCTAAAACATGTTCTTGCTTCAGATTCCTGGATAAAACTCTCCCATGAAGGCAAACTTAGTGGACACAAGTTTCTTATGAATTACATCTAGGGAAAGGAAATTAACATTCAACCTCTGTGGTTCACTAGCTGACCTTACGAAGCCTCAGTTTCCACATCTATCAAATGGAACCACTTTATGAGGTGGTTGTGAAGATTAAATGAGTTTACTCTCATCAGGTATTAGCACAGTGCCCGGGACCAATGACTGCGTGCTCAGTGCTGGCTGACAATGTCACAGAATCTAGAATAAGCACGTTGACCCTGGAAATCTGTTGAGCCACTCAGCCAGCCCTGCAGGTGGGTGGGGATGCAGGGAGTTAAACCACCAGCACCATCCCCCAGAACAGAGTCCACCAAGGGGGCCTCCCCAAGCCTGGGGCTGCAGGCCGGCAGGAAGGGGGATGGAAGAGCCAATCTTACCAGGCCGAGGTTCAGAGAGTTGTTGTCATCTTCTGGCATGGGCAGGTACACGGCCAAGGCCACACAGTTGGCAAAGATGGTAAGCAAGATGATCGTCTCGAAGGGCCTGGAGCCAGGGTTAAGGAGAGCCCTTGGGCCACAGGGGCATGGGACTTATAGGGTTAAGGGGAAGAGGGCGCTGAGGGTCAGTTTGGACTGTGACTCTGATGCCAGGCAGGTGGACAGGCTGTTGGACACTCGCCCACACTGCTCCTTCCCTGAGCACCTGCAGGATACAGTGAGGACCAGGTTCCTGCCTTGACAAACTGGCTCCCTTTCCTCAGGAACAAGTCGCTTTCACATAGACTCCTTGGAATGGTAAAGGTCTGGTCCCTGGCTGAGGGCTACTCAGCTTTAAGGCCTAGGGGGTCTTCACACCGCTCCACTCTCAGTGCCTGTCTACGCCCTTGCTTCCTCCCAGGGAGCCATGACTTTCCCAGATTCTGGCCAATCCACAGAGGCTCACCCAGAGAAATGGCACGGGAGGGTAAGGGTTGATGCGGGTTGATGTGGGGTAAGGTTGAGAACTCACCGAGCAGGACTGGGAATGAGGGATGGAGAGATGAACGATGAATTTCCAGAGCCATGTGTGCATGCTGGTGTGCTCGTGCTCACACCTGTCACACCTCGCCCCTCCCAGACACACCCACCCTGCCACAGCCATTTCTAGAGGGTACCCCAGGTCCATGGCTTTCTTGACTTTCTGACCCATTAGGCAGCAAGTGTGGAAAGAGCTAGAGAAAGCAAGGGAGGAAGCGAGGCAGTTGTTTGGGGGCGGATGGGGAGGCATATTATGTAGATGGGCTTGACAGAAAAATCCCATTCTCTTCCCAGTAACCTCCAGTGTTTGAGAAAAGAGGAGGGCCACAGGGGCAGGGGGCTACGAGAGGGGAAGGTGCAGAGGAGCAGAGGATGGAGGAGAGGGAGAACCCATGGAGTAAACCTGTTTGCAGAAGAGAGGCAAGGAGGGAGGGCCTAGGAGGGTTCGATGTGGGTGATTCACCAACTGGCTGAGGGCAGGTAAAGGGAACAGGGCTGACACTGACCCCAAGCTATCTCTACTTGCCCCACGTTTCTCTTGTCCTTCTAGTTATCCCTCATTCTCTTTCCTTCTAGGGAACAGTTGGTAGGAGCCCAACCTTCCAGAACCCTTCAGAAATATTTCAAATATGCCCGACCCTTGCTCTCAGAACCCACTTGACACAGCCCTCCCCTTCTCTCTGTCACTCCTTCCTCCCTTCCCCAGATAACCCGGATATTTTCAGCATTCTTCCCCCCAGAGCAAATGCAAACATAGCATGAGATTCGAAGTCCCTGTCCCCAGGGTGGCACGTCTGAGCTAGAACACCCAGGCTTGCTTGGCCTGTGTCTTGGAGCCACTCAGACCAGGCGTCTTTCAGACCCATTTTTCCCCTTGGCTCTGTCCTCAGCTGGGATCTGCCCCCAGAGGGGTCACCCCCCACCCAACCCAAACAAGGGGAAGCTTTCTCAAAGAGGCCATCGAACCTTTTATTGGTTCCTATCCTATTCTGAAATGAGGCTGGTGCTTCAAAAACCTAGTGGCACCCCATGATAATGTGGATTTGGGCACACCTGGGAACAGTCCCCATGAAGCAGGCCCCACCCATAGGTGGTCAGTAGGCATCTCTGGTTGTCACCCAGGACTTGAGTGGTCTGCTCAGGCCCAGGAAGCCCCACCAAGTCCTCCTCCTCTTCCTCCTCCTCTTCCTGTTCCTCCTCCCCCCTCCTCCTTCTCTCCCTCCTCTTCCTCCTCCTCCTCTCCTGCGCAGCTGAGGGCTCCTTCCCCCAGCCTCACTCAATTCTGTGAGTTCACCCCAGGTCTAAGTCCCAGGCCTCCCTGGCCCTCCTGTAGGAAGTGTGTGCTCTGTGATTACCCCTGAATCCCTCCCCCATGATGCATGCTCCCCACCACGGCCCGGGCCCTGAAGGATACTTCCATTCTACGATGCTGATGCAGGCCTTCCTCAGGGGGTTCTCCAGGGTCAGGCAGAACAAGGCCCGGGGTGGCCTTGGCAGAATCTCAGGAACCAGCTTCTTGGGCTGTTTCTTCCTCAGGCCTTCATCCTGGGGTGAGGACGGCTCCATGGCTTCCCTGGGAATCTGGCTTTCTCCTGCTCCCCCTCCCCAGTGCCCTCTCTTCCCTGCGTCCCCAATGCCCCCCGCCTTGAGGACTGGGCTGGCTGAGGCTGTCGGCTGAGCCTGCCCTGCTGAGCCAGCCGGGGGGCGGGGGCAGCAGTGGGGGCAGGAGGATTACTCTCCCCACTCCCAGCAAGTAAAATTAGCCTCCACTCGGCTCCCCACTGCCGGGCCTGAGCTCCTGAGGCCAGGCAGCTGTCATTCCATCCAGTCCAGCCAGTGACTTCCCAATCTGTCCCCTGAGAAGAGTGGGGGATGGGGAGAAGAACTTACACACAGGCCTGGGATGGGGCAGGGGCAGTGGGAGAGGGAGACAAGATGGAAGATTTCAAGCCTTGGGGAAACAGAGATCAGGAAGGAGTAGCCTTGGATGTGAAACCTCAAACGGCAGAGTGGCCCCCTCATGCCAAAATTAGGTTTTCCCTCCTCAGCCCCGTGACATTGTCTGGAGAAGGCACTGGGCAGCCTAAGTCAGGACAGCTCCACAGCACCCTCTACCTATCTCAGTATTTGCACCATCAGCCAAGACTCCCCAAACATACCTTCAACCCACTCCCCAAGCAATCCCATGTCAGGGAAACAGTAAACCCCTCTCCAGTGGGCTGGAAGACTCCCAGAACATCCCTGAGTGTACACACCTCTGGCATAGCACCTGCCTCACTGTGGAGCATCTGCTGTGTATCTTTCTTCCTCACCTCCTCCCACCCCTACAGGTGTAAAGGTTGTGTGCTTTATCTCTGGGACTCTGGCCCCTTCTCTGCACAGTCCCCACATATACTATGCTCCCTGTAAATGATCACTGAGGCCAGGCGTGGTGGCTCATGCCTGTAATCCCAACACTTTGGGAGGCTGAGGTGGGCGAATGGCTAGAGCTCAGGAGTTCAAGACCAGCCGGGGCAAGTGGTGAAACTCTGTCTCTACAAAAAATACAAAAATTAGCAGGGTGTGGTGGTGTGTGTTTGTAGTCCCAGCTAGTAAGGAGGCCAAGGTGAGAGGATCAGTTGAGTCTGGGAGGTTGAGGCTGCAATGAGCCAAGATCGGGCCACTGTACTCCAGCATGGGTGACAAAATGAGACAGAGTGAGACCTTGTCTCAAAAAGAAAAGTTCATTGAGGCCAGCCGCGGTGGTGCATGCCTGTAATCCCAGCACTTTGGGAAGCCAAGGTGGGCAGATTACTTGAGGTCAGGAATTCCAGACCAGCATGGCCAACATGGTGAAACCTGAACTCTACTAAAAATACCAAAAATTAGTGGGCGTGGTGGTGTGCACCTGTAATCCCAGCTACTCTGGAGGCCAAGGCAGCAGAATTGCTCAAACCCAGGAGGCAGAGGTTGCAGTGAGCAGGCATCAAATCACTGCACTCCAGCCTGGGCAACAGAGCAAAACCTGTCTCAAAAATAAAAATAAAAATAAAAATAAAAAAATTCATTGAATGCCTGAGCTAACACTGAACCTTAAATGCACTAACACCGAATCCCACATACCCTTCCAGCAAGTACTCTGGACTAGCAGTGGGAATGAGAAAGGGGCACCATGAAGGGTGAGGGTAGACAATGATCTAGGAATGAGAAAATTCAACAATCCTTTTATTTAGCTCTTTGGTGCCAACACAGTGCCTATGTACCCATATGCACACCCCCCTCCCCCAAGGCTTACAGTCTGAGGGAAAAAAACCACAGTCCCCACCCAACCTGGGACAAAACTAGACGACCTCGTTGGGGGGCGTGGAGGGAGTGATCGCCCCCCACCAAGGAAGCTAGAGAACGCCACCAGGGCACATAGGTCGCCTCTGCTGAGTCTGTGGGTTCGGTCCGGGCTGAGCGCCGGCAGCGGCCTGGCCTCCCATCCCTTCCTCTGGGTTCCTTTCTCAAGGGGCAAGCGTGCTCCCAAAGAAGTCGCTAGTATTTGAGGCCATCTGGTGGAGAGCAGGGGCATGGTAACCGAGGGATCAAAGCCGGGCTTGCCTCCCGGGAACTCGCAGAGACTGGGCTGCGCCTGCGGCGAGGAAGGACGAAGCAGAGCTACCTGAGGCCGAGCGGGAGCCAGACCCAGGGATAATCGTCCTGGAGTGCCCCTCTGCACCCCGGAGGGGACGCAGGACGCCCGGAGCAGTCCCAGGCCCTGCCCCTCGCTGCACCCACGGAGCTCCTCAGGTCTCTATCGCGCGCCTCGCACCCGTTGCCCTGCACTTCCTCCCCAAGTTGATGGAGGAGGGAGGATGTCGCAGACACGGGAGCACCGCGGACCTCCTGCAGTCACCAGCCTGCGGCGCATCGCGGGTGACCTAGCAGCCTCCCCCTGCTCCCGAAAGTGGGACGGGGCCGACGGATCATCCCCCAAGCCAGGGGCTGCCACAAGCCCGATCAATGGCAGGATTCCTCCGATTCCAAGAAAGGCGAGGGGGAGAAGCAGGAGGACTCGGATGACTCCGGTACCAGGGAGGAGGGCGCCCGGGCCTCGCCTTCGCCAGGGCGGTCGGGCCG